GGAGGAGTAATTTATCGAACAGGATTGAAATAATCGCGAAACTTACCGGCAAAAATTTGTACGTTAGAAAAGAAATTATTATTATCATCATCATCATCATTATTATTATTTTAAATCGATGAGGTAAATTTAAAAGAGTAATTTATCGGTGTAATTAATTATAGATAAATAAATATAATCTCGTTATCCCGAGACAAATTAAAAAAAAAAAAAAAAGTTTCGAACGGCAGGTACCGTAATTTTTAAATCAACCTGTGAGTAGTAGTAATAATAATAAAAACCGGGGGGTTTTTATTTTTTATATATATTTTATTATCCGATTAACCTTCTAAAACTCGAGTCTAATGGCACGTTCGATAATTGATAGGAGAGAGGGGAAAAAAAAAGAAAAATTCGAACGTCGTGGCGAGAAGAAACTTTTAAAAAAAATTTTTTTTGTTAAGGATGCGTTTCGTGTTAATTTTTTTTTTTTTTTTGAATTGCGCAAAAAATTAAAGAAAAACCTGAAATTTTTTTTTTTTATAACTCCCGGTTTTTTTTTTATATAATTCCAAACCTGACAAAAAAAATTAGGCAACATCCATATACATGTGGTTCAAGGCCGATTACAAATGGATGTCATCAGACGGTTTATTTGCGGTTTAAAAAATTTTTTTTTAAACGATTATTTTTCGTTCACCCGGAATCGATTTATTAGTAGTTATAATACTGATGATGATGATGATGATGATAAAAGGCCTCGAACCGTTTTTGTTTTAAGCAATAAAAGGTACATTCGTAACCGAAAAAGGAGGATGTTAAACGCGATGTGACGTCGGCCATGATTTTACGTACCTGCTTCATTTGTTTATCACCTGGTTTTTAAAATCGTTATTGATTAATAGCCTAATAGAAGGATGTGCAAAGAATACAAATTTTCTTTTTTTTTATGTTAACTATTTTTTTTTTGGAATATTGAACTGTTATCAGTGTATGATATTATCGTGATGACAAATTTAAAAAAAAAAAGAAAGAGAAAAAGAGATTCACACGAAGATAGACAGACAGACAGGCGATCAGAGTAAGACAAATACAAAAAGAGAAAAAAAGAGAGAGAGAGAGAGAAAGAGGGAGAGAATAAAGAGAGAAATACACAGAGAGAAAAAAAAAGGAAAGAGAGATTCATACGAAAGTAGACAAATTGAGAGAGGGAAATAAAGAGAGAGAAAGTAAAAATAAAAGGAGAAAAAGAGAAATAAAGAGAGGAAGGAGAGAAACAAATAAAAGGACAAAGAGAGAGGGAAAAAGAAAAAAAATAAAAGGATAAAGAGAGGTTAAAAATAAATAGAGAAAGAGATAGAGAGAGAAAGATTCACACGAAGACAGGCAGAGAAAGAAAGAATTATAGAGAGAAGGACACAAATTGAGAAAAACAGAGAGGAAGAGAAAGAAAGAGAATTAATTACACTAAGAGAGAAAGAGAAAGACGGAGAAAGAGATTCACCCAAAGGCAGACAGATAAACTGATATTGAGAGAGAGAAGAAGGAGAGAGAGAAAGAGGACAGACAGTGATAGAAAGAATTAAAGAGAGAAAGACAAATATTGAGAAAAATAGACAATAACATAAAGAAAGAGGAAGAAAGAAAGACAATGAATTACACAAAGAGAGAGAGAGAGAGAAAGACGGAGAAAGAGACTCACCCAAAGGCAGACAGATAAAGTGATATTGAGAGAGAGAGAGAGAAGGAGACAAAAAAAATAAAGAGAGAAACACACAGAGAGAGAGAAATAAAGAGAGAAAGACATAGAGAGAGAAAAAAAAGAGAGAAAGACAGAGTGAGAGAGAGATTCACACGAAGACAGGCAGAGAAAGAAAGAATTAAAGAGAAAATGATACAAATTGAGAAAAACAGACTGGAAGAGAAAGAAAGAAAGACCACTAATCACACAAAAACAGAGAGAGAGAGAGAGAGAAAAAGATTCACCCAAAAACAGACAGATAGATAAACTTATAGAGAGAGAGAGAAGAGTAAACCACACAAAGATAGAAAAAGAAAGAGAAATTTTAAACTTTCTCGTACATATGACTCGAATGTTGGGGTTTTTTTATACGACAGTTCGCCTAAAAGTGAAAAAGAAAAATATTTTCCGAGTACTTAAAAATACCGATCGGGTATTGGGTAGTACCAAATAATAATAATAATAATAATAATAATAATATATATGGTAAAAAATTATTTATCGATTGCGATTGAATTCGATTACAATAATCCTGTGGGTGTTTGTCTGCGTAATATCGAGAAACAAGTCAAATCGATTGATAATAAAATAAATTTCCAATCAATAAAAATCAAAATTGAAATATAATTAATGATGATGATGATGATGATAATGACGATGACGATAAGTAAACATAATCGTTGACAAATAAAATTTTATTAATCTTCTTCATTTTTATTACAAATTTCAAAATATTATTAATAATTTATTTTTTTATGAATCGTCCGCCATTTTGAACTGTTTTCTTTTTTCCTTTTTTTTTTTTTTTTTTATTTAGTGGAGGTTATTATGAAATTTAAAAAAAATTTCACTTGAATATTTCGGTTTTTTTTTTTCATTAAAAAAAAAAAAAAAGGTGTTCAAAAGGTACGACCTAAGGTGTTATATCATCAGTAAGTTATTTGACCTTTCAACTTTTTTTTTTTTTTAAACAGTATATAACTTGATTAGATTTAATCTTTTTGGAATTTTTTTTTTTTTTTTTACGATTTTTCGAATTTTTTTAAAAAAAAAACAAAATTTGATTCGATTGAACCTTAATTTCGTTCGGAGTGACACGATAACCTAATTTGTTTTTCTAAAACCACGAAAACGAAAAAAAAAAAATGGCTGGCGAGAGCGTCGAAAAATTTTTTTTTTTTTCGATTAATTATTTTGTAAAAGTTAAATTATTAATTTTTTTTTCTTTCTCTCTCTCTCTCTCTCTCTGTTTGTCAGTCTGTTTCTCTGTCTCTCTTTTTTCTGTCTGTTTCCTCTCTCTCTGTTTGTCGGTCTGTTTCTCTCTCTCTCTCTTTTCTGTTTGTTTTTTCTCTCTCTCTCTTTTTCGGTCTCTCAGTCTGTTGTACTCTCTCTTTCTCTCTCTGTTTGTCATTCTGTTTCTCTGTCTCTCTCTTTTCTGTTTGTTTTTTCTCTTTCTCTCTGTTAGTCAGTCTGTTTCTTTCTCTCTCTTTTTTGTGTTTTCTCTCTTTCCCTCCCTCTTCTTCGGTCTCTCAGTCTGTTGTTCTCTCTCTCTTTTTCAGTCTCTGAGTCTATTGTTTTCTCTCTCTTTCTGTCTGTCAGTCAGTGTAAATTACGTAATTATTAATTAATTTTATAAATTCCGATATTAAAAAAAAAAAAAATTTTTTAACGACATTTTCAATAAAAATTTAAAATATAATAAAACTTAAAAAAAAAAAAACCTTGAATTGTATAAAAAAAAAAAAAAAAAAGTTGACGGGCATCCTTTAAAAATTTTTTTTTTATTTTTATTTCTCAGGTACAAAAAAAAAAAATTAATTAATAAATAAATAAATAAAAATAAAAAAAATTAGGGCGTTTAAAATGTTTTTAAAATCAGGTTCGCGATAAACCTGTTTGAGTTTATTTTTACGCTCATCTCAACATATCATCATCATCATCGTCGTCTTTAATTTTTTTTCGAGTTTTCGAACCTGAACTCGATAAATGAAACAAAATATCGTTAATGTTTAACTAAATTTCGCATAGGAAATTATTATTATTATTATTATCAGTATCCGTTTGGGTTTTAATTGGGTTAATTATATTTCAGGTATGGTAATGTATAATTAACTAAATTATTACACCTTTAAATTGGGAAACTTTGTCGATTGTTTTCTCTCTCTCTCTCTATCTTATAACGTAAAAAGAAAGTTTGGCGGTTTTTTTTTAAATAATTAAAACGAAGGAAAACAATACGAAACAAAAAAAACGGTTTTACATCGATCGATATCCGATTGTGAAAATCTGTCAGTAAAAGTTGTTTTGACTCTTACGAGTCAAGGACAAATCGAAGGGTTAAACAAAAAAAAAAGGATCTTCGTTCAGGTATAACAATACCTACCAAAAAAAAAACAGGTAGCTAGCCAGCCAGCCAGGCATACCTATAAATAAATGATCGTTTTTAAAACCGTTTTTTTCTCTTATTATTATTATTATTATTATTATTACGCAATTTAAAAATTTCGCAGAATTCTCCTCCATTTTATTATCATTCATTATGCAACACTCATTACAATCAACTGGAAAATATTTTTTTCCAGATTTCCATAGAGTAAATAAATTCATGCGTAAAAAAAAAAAAATCATTTTTTTCATTTTTAGTGATTTATTATTATAAAAAAATAAAATTAAAAAAAAAAAAAAATGAAAAAAATAATAAAAAAATAAATAATAATAATGATAATAAAACAAAAACACTTTTGACCGTTTGCACTCGCTCTCCCCCCCCCCTTAACTCCCTCGCGCGAAAAAAAAAATCGAAACGAAATTAATGACGTCAAATAGTTTATTAATCGTATCCCCTTCCCCCACCCCCCATCCCCCCACAAACAGCATTTTAACAAAAAAAAAAAAAAAAATTACAATTTGTACTTGCAGAAACGAAAAACCGTATTGGTCCCTGTCGACCCAAAAAAACTCACAATTGCACGTTAATAAATAATAATGATAATAATAATAATAATAATAATAAAACGAGGCAAGCGTCAGAAAAATTCTTACAGTACGTCAGAAAAATTTTTTTTTTTTATTTATTAAAACGTCTGCGGTTTAAACACAAAAAAAAATTAAAACCATAGACGTTAAAAATTAAACTCGCGTGTACGTGTACGTGTGCGCGCACGTGCGCGAACACGTTCCTGCCTTCTTCGTTAAATTAAAAAAATAAAAATCTTTGGATGAACGACTGGAACCCTAAATAAATAAGTAAAATAAATAAATTAATTAATTAATTAATAATTCAAGTGAACGAAAGACCGTATTTTTGTGAAATTTGTGGCGAATGAATCGTGGCAACAGAGAGCAAAAGCGGAATGTCGTTGATTCCAACGTCTAATTTTTCCGTTAGAAAATCTATCGTGCACAATTCTCTCGTGTTGAGGAGTTCGGCAACCGTTTTACTTTTCAAATAAATTTCCCTCAATTTTTTCTCCACGTGATGAAAGCACTGGAAAACAAATAAATTAAATTTTTTTTTTTTTTTTTTTCCAGGAGTCTCTTTCCCGAAAGAGAGATAGAGATAGAGAAAGAAAGAAAACTCACAAACGTTTCGGATATTTTCATTTTGTGAAGGCAAACAAAGGATTCCAACATGTCGGACACGAGTTGCGACATTCCGACTCTGATTCCCGATTCTTTGTTTTTGTCCAGTGTCGAAGTTTTGCTGGAATGTACGGTAACTTCCCTGCGACACATATCGATAAGGTAATCAATTCAAATTTAAATTTTTCTGCTTTTTTTTTTTTCCTATTTTTTTATTCTTACCACGAATCGACGTCGCCGATTATGCACAATGCTTCGCTTACGTCTTTTTCGAAAGTCGAATTGTACGCGCAGTGAAATAAATCTTTCTGTAGTTTTTCCTTCCATTCGTTTTTGGGTTCCGTGATCCCTTGAATTATCTGTTCGGAATTGTACCTTTGGTTGACTCCCCCGAAAACCGCGCTCACTTCCAACTGCTTCTTCCCCGTCGGTTTCGCAATCCTGTTTTTCATCCGACAAAAAAAATTTTCTTTAACGTAGGGAACCTTTTACCAAAAGACAAATTTCAATTTCTTACTTACTCTGGACAAGGTATTTCGGTAACGACCCACGGGAAATAAAATTCATTTTTATCGTGACCTTGACCTTTGGATTTCGTCGACCCGTTATTGAATGGCGATGATTTTTTTTCGTCACCGGAAACGTGTTCGTTCAACGTCCGATCTTTTAAAAAAAACCTATCATTATCATTATCACTATTGTTTTCAACCGTTCGATTCGTTACGTCATCACCATCATCATCATCATCATCGTTAAATTTTCCCGTTTCACAATTTTCCCTTTCAAATTCTATTATATCGGGTTTATTTAAAACTATTTTCTTATTCGAACAAGTTAATTTTTCATTGTCTCCCAAAAGGAAAACGATTTCGTTTTTTTTCCGGTCTCTCGTTTTCGACACCCCCGTTTCCGGTTTGAGATTTTCAAACGATATGTTTTCAGCTTTGTTCGAGTCAATCGTGCTGTAACCCTCGTCCGAACTCAAACAATCCGTTCCGTTGATATTTACTCTAGGAAAAGGTTCGTCGACCGCGAACCTTGTCACGTTTCCGACAGCCGTTGATTTCCCTCCGACCGTACAACAATCGTTTCCGGAAATCAAATCCAAATCGGATTCGTTTAAATTTTCACATTTTAACAAATCCCTTATGTCCGGATATAGCAAGTTTTTATTTTTTCCCTTCTCACGATGATCCCTATCGACGATCTGAGTGAAACTTTTATTTCTTTTTAAAATCCCGTCGCCGGAAAAACAAGGGATTTCGTAATTTTTTCCCATTTCCCGTTCCCTATCCACGGATTTCGGGGAAGATTCACCTTTGTAAATCACACGGGACGGTGACAAATTTTCCGTGACGGTTTTCGCACGATCGAAATCCCATTCGAAATTCGACTGTTTCGATTCGATAACTTCTTTCGCGACGTTTTCCACCGTGATGACGTCATAAACGTTTTCCGTAACACTGTAACACCGTATAAAATAAGTTAAAACTCTCAGTATGGAAGTGATGTAGTTTTTTTTAATTTCACTACCGGTCACAATTGTTTTGGCACATTTAAGGGGGGATCCCAACAATCCGTAAAGGTCGTTCAATTGAGCCCAAATCGGATTATAATTTTTTATCTGGTTGTAAAACGAAACAAACAAAAATTATTCGAGGCGACAAACTAGAAAAAGAAAGGACATTTTTTCTTCTCTGAACCTTACTTACTTACCACAGACTTAACTTTATCGTGACGATTAGTAATATCAGTCTCAGCGATTGCAGTGACCCAACTCAAATGATGGGTTAAAACGGCAGTAAGCAACGTGCTCATAAAGCTAAAAAAAAAATTACCGAACAATAGTGAACAAACGAACAAACAAACAAACAAACAATGACAAACGATAAAAACTAACAAATTTGTATCTTTCGTATCGAACTTGAGCAAAACGTCGGAAAATTCATTTAAAAATTTTCTTTTCAACGATTCGTTATCCCTATTATCATTATCTGGGTTAGAATCGACGACGTCACAATCGTTAACGTCGCTCTGTCTCAACGCTATCCAAGTAGGAACTTTTTGTTTTGAACTTGTTATGACGTCATACAAACTATCTTGAGCATTTGTAAATCCCGTGTATATGAGATCGACAAAATTTTGATTTTTCACGTAGGCCAATTCGACAGAGGATTGAAGTTTACTCATAATGCTATCGATTATAATCGTGTGATTGAATAAAAATTGTTCCATTTCGCTAAAAAGGATAATTAAAAATTAACGTCACGGTAATGACGTCATCAGTGATAGTTGATTGCATACTCACTCGTTTTTACAATTGCTTATGTCTATTAAAAGTGCCATTCCCAACTTGGCTCTTTTCTTACATTGAACGTTGTTGCTGACGACGTCCATTAAATTATCATTAGTTTTCGAATCGAGTGAAGCAGAACATGATTGAGCCCATCTTCTTCTTAAACTACTCAATGACCCACTCATATCAGACACTAAATAATAATAATAATAATAATTGATTCTATATGTAATACGAAAAAAAAAAAAAGGTTGGCAAGAGTGTTTTGTCGAAACTTACAATTCTCAGATTCCGAAGAATTGATTGAATTTTCATTTAAATTTTTCAAATATGATGAATTTAATAACTGTGATGAACGTTTCATAATCGAATTACCATCTACCACTACCACTACTTTATCACTATTCTCTAAATTTTGAACACATTTGTTTTTACATCCCGAATCGACATCACTAACATCACAACACTGAATCGAATTATGTGTAGGTGAATTGTATTTAGGACATGGACAAGTCGAACAACTCATTAAAATCTGACCAGAATTATTGTAAAGATTTGAATCTGACAAACAACTTTCGTTTGTTGTCGTTGTCGTCGTCGAGGTTTGACTGCGAGACGAATTATCATCCCTAATGTAAATCAAATAAATATTAATATTTCAAAACATGAATCGTAGCAAATAATATGAGCAAATGAGTGCAAATATTTACTTTGAAATACCCATGTGACATCGTACAGGTGCATGGAATATTGTAGTAAACATTATTTGCTTCGGTTCGAGAATTTTATGTATCTTACAAGAATTTTCTCCCTTGTAAGTCATGGCGACTGATCCGAATATCATTTCTCCGAAACAAGCGACATCCCCAGATAGTTTTTTATACTGAAAAAATACCAAACTCGATTAACTGATTTTGTTTTGAATGCTAATCTTTAATTATTTTTACAAATTTAAAAACCTTGTAGCCATGTGTGGGAGTCGTTTCGATAAAATCAATATTTTTCCTATTGCACTGCTTCTGACAATTTTGATAACACATTGTTTCCCTGAGCGGTATTTTATCGACAGCAAATGAATCGAAAAGTAATTTTCTTCCTCTCTTATCGCATTCTCTAAACAACACAAATCTTATTTCTTCTTTTTTAATTGATAAATTTAAAGCCCTGAATTAAAAACAAAACAATTTCAATCATTAATACGGAATCCATTATATTAATTGGAAGGAAAAATTATTTCATTCGCGTTAATCATCCGGGAAGGAGAGGGGGAAGGGAAAAGAATGATAATAATAATTCATTCAAAATGCATAAACGTAAACAATTGATATCACGATGTAAATAAAAGGTTAGGAGCACGTATGCAAATCAATGAATGGTTTTAAAAAAAATTATGAATGAATAAAACGTTAGAATTCACATCTTGATAACTTTCAGACAAGACTCACCCGTAAAATTCACAATCTTCATTCAAATCATTATCAATTTTATTATTTTTACTTATATGGCTAAAAATTTTATCGAAAAATGACATATTGCGTTGTTGTTTTTTGTAATAATAATTATTTGTTTCATTTCTAAAACCGTCGTAAAAACTATGACCAAAAAAAAAAAAAATCAAAACAAACAAAATTAACGCGGGGGGTAAACCACCATCGTTTATAGTTTCTATTATTATTATTATTATTAATATTATTAACGTGATGTTCGTTTCACCCCGTTATTTAAAAAAAAAAAAAATTTATGTTTTAAATATAAATGGAAACATTTAAAAAAACACATATATATATATTATCACGTGTTATTTTCGTCATATGATATTGTGTCATTTGGCAAAGCGCCATCTTGTTTTCATGCCATAGACGTAAAAAACAAAAATTGAAAGTAATTCGTTCGTTTTACATTTTTCATTTATCGTTTTTTTAATTAAATATTTTTCGATTTCATTCGTTAATATTTAAAATATTTACGATAAATTTTAAACCGGAAATTTGTTTTTTTGTTTTCTTCCGCCACGATAAAACGAAAAAAACAAAATTTTTAAATATTTTAACCGTTAAAATTTTTATTTATGTTCCATGGTTTGATTACTCGCTTGACGATTTTCTTTTCGGTTATGGTTTAATTCATAACAAAATCAAAAATCTTTGAATTATCGTTTTTTAGTTTTAAGATTAGAAATTTATGATAATCCTCCCTCCCTCCCTCCCCTCCTCTTCCCTCTTCTTCCCTTTAAACAAAATGACGGTTATTTCTTTTTTTTTTTTGAAACTTTTCAAATGAAATTCTTTAATTCGTTTCGCAACGGTTGAAGCCAAAAAAAAAATTATTTAATTAATCATTTTAATCAATTAAAATATTTTTATATAATTTCTTTAAAAAAAATATAAAAACTTTTGCCAGAATCTAAAAAGAAAATTCTTTGATTAGGAATCCGTAACGAAAAGGAAAAGAATAACAAAACAAAACGAATGACAACCGTTTGTGAATGTGATTTGATTATTAGCAGAAGACGTTAATAAAATTTTTCACGGGGTTTTAATTAATTAAAATTTGATTTCGATGTATTTAAAGACGTTGTGGTTTTGGGGATTAAACAAATCGGAAAATTCGGATAATCCGGATTAATTGGATTTTCTTTTTAGTTAAATCTTTTCGGATTATAATAATCGATCGATCGATCCCGCCAGAAGTTTTAATCCCGTAAAAAATAAATAAATTGCAAAATTAAAATAAATTTTTTTTTTTTTTGTTTCAGGATGAATAAATAATGATAATAATAATAAACGACATTGAAAGAGAAAGAGGAAAAAGAAAATTTTGCATTGCCAAAAAGTAAATTATTATTAAATTATGTGATGAATGCGCCAAAAGAATTTTAACAACATTTACCAAAAATACTTGTTACGTCTCCCACACTATGAAAATCATGTGAGTTTATTAATTTATTTATTTTAATTTTATACAAAAACGTGGTCGGTGATGGTGACGGTGGTGACGGTGACGGTGATGACGTTGATGGTGATGGTGACGGTGGTGACGGTGACGGTGATGACGTTGATGGTGATGGTGACGGTGACGATGACGATGACAAACGAATCGATTTAATTTTAAAAAAAATTTTTTTTTCAATTTTTGAGACGGAGAAAATTTTGAATTATTATTATTATTATTATTATTATTATTATTATTATTATTATTTTTGCCATCGTATGTAAAGAATACGGTAATTGAAATAGGAAAAAAAATCCCTGGAGAAAAAAAATTACAATAAAGATGAGAGAGAGAGAGAGAGAGAGAATTATTTCTGGCACGCTCTTGATGGACCGTTCAATCGTAAATTGTTTAAGTGGGTTTTTTTTTTTTGAATTAAAAAAAAGCAACTTACGTACTCGATATTTTGCCCCCTCCCCTTTCATTTTTCTTTTTCTATATTCATAATAATAACATTTGTTACAATATTCCCTCCCCTCTCTCCCCTCTCTTTCCCCCTCTCTCTTCGGGAAGTTTTCTTTTTTCTTCTTATTATTCTTATCTTAATAATTAAACGAGTAGCTTTAAAATATTTCCCATTAATTCGTTCGGGTTTTTTAAATTTAATTCTTCTGCCACGTCGTTCGTCGTCTTTCTCTCTCTCTCTCTCTTCGGGAAATCATTTTTCTTCTTATTATTCTTATCTTAATAATTAAACGAGTAGCTTTAAAATATTTCCCATTAATTCGTTTGGGTTTTGAAAATTTAATTCTTCTGCCACGTCGTTCGTCGTCTTTCTCTTTCTCTCTCTCTCTCTTTCTCTTTCTCTCTCTCTTTCTTTCTTTCTCTAAATATTATCGTTTTTTTTTTTTTTTTTTAAATTTTTTCGTCCAGGTGCGAAAGTAATTGCAGATGCCGGAGAAAAAAAAAATATTTATCGATTTATTTATTTATTTTATTTTTTTTTTACTTCTTGTGTTGTACATCATCATCATCATCCCTCATCCCTCATCCCTCATCTCTTGTTTCTTTCTTTTAATTTTTTTTTTTTTTTTAAATGTAGTTTAATAGCCTCGAGTTATTAAGGCTAATTCTATTCATGTGTTCACCCTCTAAATGAAACAAAACGGTCATTTGAATCGTAAAATAAATTGACATGACGTGAATAGTTGTTAACTTACGTACAAAGAGAAAAAAAAAAAACTTGTTAGCAATTTTTTTTTCTTGCTTAAATAAAGGGAACGAAATAATAATAATAATAATAATAATAATAATAGAAAGTAAAAAAACATCGTACGAATATACATAAAACTCGGTCGTCGTCCATTGTTTTCAACGTAAATAATTTTTCCTGTAGGTAAAAAAAAAAAAAAAAATTTTTGTCCCGAATTTATTCATTTATACGATTCGAAAAAATCATCATCATCATCATCATCATAATCATCAGTCACGTGATTTGCATTTAAAAAATTCATTCCCCGACGGGTAAAAAAATGGCTGACCGCGCTAGAGAAAAAAAGAACGAATTAAATAATATCCTCTTTAATAATAACAATTAATAGGATGATAAGATATATCGATGACTTAATCACGTGTCGGGTGATAACGCAACACGACGCACGTGCCATGACGCGTTTCTATGGTGCGAAACGTGTCCGTGTATCTATATATCTATATATATGTATTCCATCGGACACGTGTCGTCAATTTAAATAAGGCGGTGTGTTGTGATTAGCTTCTGACACGTGGCTTCGGTCTTTTAAAAATGTCGGTGTCAAACCTATTAGAAATGTATAAATGTCATCATTTTATTTAAGTTTACCATTTTCATTTGCGAATTTAATTCGAGCGACGTGGTAATAATAATAATAATACTTAAAAAGGTTTTTCAACGGATGAACCTTTTTATTTTTTAAAGATACAATAGATGATGATATTATTATTATTATTAAATATTAATTGTTGTTATTAGGATTTTTTTTTTTTTAATCCCGTGAGAAAAATTTTTTTTTTTTTAAAAAGTTAATATGGCGGGTTTTAAAAAATAATAATAATAATAATAGTAAAGCGAAACGCTTTCAATATTCGTACCTGGCATGAAAGTTTATTTTAAAAAAAATTTGTTTGTTTGTTTGTTTGTTTGTTTGCTGTTAGAAACGATGATGATGATGACAACAAAAAAATTAAGCCTTTCTTTATTATTATTATTATTATTATTTATTATCGTCATCGTCGTAATCACGGTTTACGCGTTCGAATGTTTTCAAAATGAAAATCGTTAATAATGTGTATTTAATTATTTAGTTCGTAAATAAGATAGAAGAACCCGTGATAAATTGGAAAAAGCATACAAAAATTTTCCGCCCTTCCGACCATTAAAATCTTGATAATAAATATTACCAGCCAGCTGCCCTGAAAAATCTGCGGGAGTAAAAGAGAGAAAGAGTGAGAGAGAGGGAGAGAGAGGGAAAAAAAACGATTTTTAGGGATGAGAGGGTTGATAAATGCACCCTTCATTCAAATCTGAACCTTTTAGAAACTGCCCTCCTACCAAAAACGTTTTTAGACACCGTAATAAAAATTATTCTCAATTTTACGACTGTAAAAGGACTTGCTCAATGACAAAACCGTGTAAGAAACAATTTTTTTTCCCCCCAATGAACGAATCGATACAATTTTGTTCTTTTTGACTTTTTTTTTTTTTTTGCGGAAATTTGAAAAAATGACCGTTATTTTTTAACCGTTAAAAAAATTATCGAACAAAAAACAAAGAAAAGTACGTTTAAAATTTCGCGAGAAAAGATGGCGCGCGCGAGTATTTCCTAAACGCGTCGTCGTCGCGAACATTTAAACTTTTTAAATTTCCCGCGTAAAAAAAAAAAAAAAAATTACGTAATTATTTGAATTTCGCGGTTAAAAAAAAATTAAATAAAAATTAATAAGGACATAAAATATTTTGGAAATTAATAAAAATAAAAATCGAAAGACGAGGGGGTTGCGTTTATAATACGCGAATCGCGTTATGGTCTAGTAAACAAGTTAGCTTGGGGTTATTTTAACTTGCAGATCAAACATGAATCATGTCCGACTAAAATAAATAAAAAGGAGAAAAAAAACCGCCGCCACCACCACTACTACTGCCACGTTTTCTCTTCTATTTTTCTTTTCTTTTTTTTTTTATTTAATATTTGAAAAACAAACACTCGAAAACTCTTTCTCTCTCTCTCTCTCTATCATTCGTTCTGGGGATAACATAAAACAAACACATGTATATTAATTAGGTAAAAATTGAATCGTATTGACTTTTATTTATTTATTTGTTAAGTTGGCGACGTTTTTCCCGCGTTCGTTTAAAAGCGCGCGCAATTTTTTAAAAAATTTTATCAAATAGGTTTTTTTTATTTGTACGCGACAAATTTCTAAATATTTGTCGCGGGATGATATCCGGTTTGTTTGTTGGCTGCCACGGTTCTGTCAGCGTGGGTTTGTTTCGTGTACGAACCTGCTGTCGTGACCGGGTTTGAAATGTGATCTTACCATTCCTTGGCTAGCCTATATATATTCCAATAGATTGTGCCTCTATTGGTATTCACGTTTTGCCATTATCGAACAACCGGAAATTAAGTTGTTTCCGGTTACGATTGGCAAATTCGGCACATATCATCTTGTCTTACCTTCTCGTAATTATGGGTTCGCGATGCCTGGTCTCGTGCAGTCTTTAATTTTCCACGCCTTAACCGGTTGTTCGGTACTTTTCACGTTATGTCTGAAGTATTTTTCCATTTCGGGTACTGTCCGCCATGTTACTTTTTCTAAGATTCGACTTTCCCATCATAAGTTGCAAGCCGACGTTTTTCAGGTTCGTTTTGGTACCTTCTAGGTACTCTCGTTTTCATCATCTTTTCCACCATTACCACTAACGTGAGGTGCTTTGGATGAGATTCCATATTTCCCATACCGACAAAGACATTTTGGTACGCTTACTTATTATATTATTATTTTTTTTGTTTCGAAAGTTGGTAGCGCCGGAATGAAAAATAAAGTATTGAAATCGAGAGCTCATCCATAAGGATAAAACTAATAAATAAATAATATTTTAATATTTTTAATAATACCTCTCTTAAACGTATTATTTTACAAAAGATTTTTTTTTTTTTGAAAATTTAAAGAATGAAACAAACGAACCGGAAATTTTGTTGTTGTTGTTGTTGTTGTACAAACGATACTCTTGAATAGAATTTTTAAAAAATTATTATTAACAATAATAATAATATTATTTTAATACAAAAAAAAAGAGCAAAATGTAACATGATGTAAAAATTATTATTATTATTTTTTTTTCGTTAATTGCGAATTTTCATAAATGCCGAAAATAGTGGTAATGGTGGGCAGGTGAAAAAATAATAATAATAATAATAATAATAATAATAATAATAATAATAATAATGATAATAATAATAATAATAATAATTCGAGAATTTATTTCTAAGGAGGAATCGTCGGATAGAAACCTGGAATAAATGAACCGTGTCGTGTTTAAAAGTGACCGTAATAATAATAATAATAATAATAATAATAATAATAATAATAATCGTTCGTTACGTCGGAAAATTTTTTGTAATAATAATAATAATAATTATTTATCGCAAAGAATGACGATGACGGTTAAAGTATTATTATTATTAATTTTTTTTTTTTTTAAATTTATTTCGTGTATTCGGCGTGTAATTTAATCGACGCGATATCGATTCGATTCGATACGATACGAAAGGTGTTTGTTATTATTATTATTATTTGTTTTAAACCCTTTCAGATTTTTTTTTTTAAGTTAAAATACGACAAACGTTCCATAAAATTATTGCAAAAAAAAAAAAAAAATCATTTCACTCGAAAATGAAATGATCCGAAATAACAATCGAAATCGAAATTTATCGAAATATGAACCAGATGTCGCGGATTCGATATATCGCGCACTAATTTCGTTTCCGTCGTAAAAAAAAAAAAAAAAAAAAATTTATCCACGGATCATTTCGATTTTTTCGAGAGAGAAAAAAAATGGCAAACAAACCGTGTCGATATCATATTTATTTTTTTTTTTTTAAATTTATCATCATCATTATTATTATTATTATTATTAGTTTTTGTATTTGCAAAAAAATTTTTTTTTTTTTTTTTTATAGTTAAACCCTTTGACAATGATGTTAGAGTTAATATTTTACATTTATTGAAGCTTAGAAAATGATTGTGACGAAACAAACCTTTTTTTATTTATTTATTTATTCATTCCTTTGTCAAAGGAAAAAAAAAAAACTTTTATTATTATTATTATTTTTTTTTTAATCCATTGTAATCGCATCTGATATACTTACGTGTTTAAAACATGAACCCTTTAATATAAAAAAAAAATCAACCCCACCCCTCCCCCGCGCGCGCGCCCTCCTCCATCGACAATAACATTTTAAAAAATTCAACACGGTTTATGAAAATCATTAACTCTTTTGTTTATTTTTTTCCTTTTAAACAATTTTTTATGGGTATTCGGCTTTACAATTTCAAAACAATCGTTAGAAGTAAATGAAAAATTGCGTGACGTGGCAGTAGATAATATTTAAACGTACGAAAAATTTTCCTTCTTTTTGTCATTGATTTTAACTAACGGGAAACGCGAAAAGAAATAATCCTAAAAGGAAATCCTATCCTAAAAGGATAGATAATCCTTAAGGATAAAAAAAAAAACGTTTCGTCGTCGACTAATAATAATAATAATAATAATAATAATATTCATACCCTAATAAAATTAATAAGGAAAAATTTCTGGATAAAAAATCCAATGAATTTAAATGTACGAGATTTAAATTCAATGTTCGAAGGTGTCAAAGGCGTTTAATCAACCAGTAGGGGGTTTTCTCTCACTCTCACTCTTTCTATTCTTTTCTTTTCTTTTTTTTTTTTTTTTACATTTTATGTTATATTTAGGGTGATATGGCAAACGTATTTAGTAAAAAAATTGTCATCCATTCATACGAAAAAAAAAAAAATTAAATCCTTAATCCCGTTTCATGGTTGTTTGTGTTCGGGTTCTATTGTGTTAGCCATTACACGGATTTTTCATAGGATGATTGATTTCGTATTAAATAATGTTTCGATTATATAACAAACAAACGAAAAGAAATTATTGTTTTATTGTTTTTACTTCAAACTTTTAAATTATTATTATTATTATTTGATTCGTTTCCGTTTCCGCTTTTCCAAACGCTCTCATAATATTCGACGAACGTTACAATCAATTAACGGATATTATGAGGCCGTTTTAAATTTTCCGTCGTCTGCTTATCGGATATACGGGATTTTTTTCGAAAGGAATAAATAATAATAATAATAATAATAATATAAATAAATATTTTTATTTAATTAATAACGCGATATAAAATTATTAAATATAATTTATATTAATTAAATTAAATTTTTTTTTAGGTATTGTCCATAAATCTGCTAAAAGTAATCGTGATTGTTACAAGAGTTGGCAACACTGTTTTCGAAAAAACAATTTTCCGATTCGTTCGGCCAGGTAGGAAATGAATTGTTGTCACTATTATTAAATTCACTAAAATTTAAATTTTTCCTACATGACATTATGTTGTTTTTTTTACAGGTGTTGCCGTTGTTGTTGTTGTTGTTTAAATAAAATTCCGTTGGCGGCGTTGTAGTCGTCGTAGAATTTTGACTAGATGAAAATGTTTGAAAAGGACTATTATTATTATTATTATTTATTTGAAAATCTGATCTCGAACTCGTACTCGAACTTGGACTTCCGTAATAGTAAGTTAAAAAATCATTATAATAATAAGATGAATCGTCGTCTGTGGTCGTTTTTACCACGGACGACGATGATGATGATCCGGTTTGATTGTTGTATTTCCTTTGGTGAGCGACGGCACAACTTCCGGTGTTTGATGTTATCATGTTACCCTTATCGGAAATACTTACGACGACGTTACCCACATTAACCGTTATTCCGCCATTATCACTCGTTATATCACTTATGAAATCGTTCGGTGGCGGTGATGATGATGACGATATCGTTAATTTTTCGTTATTTATCACTTGTAACGTTTGACTTAGGGCCCATATGTAATTGTGTGCAAATCTTAATGTTTCTATTTTTGTTAGTTTGGTATCGGTCGGATATGTTGGCAATACGCATCTCAATCTATCCAATGCTTCGTTTAACAAATGCATTCTATTCCTTTCCCTATCGTTTGCTTTCATTCTCCTGTGTTTTTTTATTCTTAATATCTGCGGGAAAAAAAAAAAAAAATTATTCGAAATTAGCAATTTTCCATAATGGAAAACTTGATAATAATAATAATAATAATAATAATAATAATAAGGTACCTGCGAGGGACTTCGATTTCTCGTCGATCTTCTTTTCGGTGTTTTTTGCTGTCGTATATCATCATCATCATCATCATCATCATCGCATTTCTCGCTTTTTCTTTTCCTATACGTTTTTCTATATTCTTTTTTTTTATCATATTTTTCACTCGCGGTTTTTTTTTTAACGTTTTTATCATATTTACTACATATAACGACAACATCATCATCATTATCATTATTATCCAAAAAATTATTCGAATCGTCTTCGGATGACGTAATAGCCGTTTCGCGGGTGGTAAATCTTTCGCGTTTTCTTTTAATCTTATCGAAAATTCCTTCGTTTTCGTTAACGTTTTCAAATAAATTCTCCATCGAATTTTACGTTTTCACCAAATAATAATAATAATAATAATAACGGTTTATTTTTTATATCTGATACATATTAGTCGTATTTAATAATAATAATAATAAAATAATACGCGACGTTAACCAAAGATCACTCATCTACAGCTAAAGAGCAACTGATAGTAAAAACGGTTATAAAAAAAAAAAATCAGAGGCTGATTTATGTGTGTGTGTACCACCCTCTCACCCTATTATTATTATTATTATTATAAAAATGAGTCGTGCAAACCAAGCGGAGTTGAAGTTACGAAAGAAAAAAAAAATTCAACCACCGGAAGGGTCCATTTTTATTGGGTTTAATGTTATATACTGGTGACACGTCAAATACGATTTTTACCTTTTTGTTTTTTTTTTTTTTTTTATTCAAAGACAGGTGTTCATTATCATTATCAATCGTCGTAATTAAAACGAAATTTTTTTTTTCCATTTCCGGTATCGTATAAATTTTCAAAATTCGCGCCAAAAATTTTATTATTATGAGGCGTTACTGAAAATTTTATAAAATGTGCGACAAAACTATAAAATCGGTTCAAAGCTCATTTTGCCGACTTATATTAATCATTTCCCATTTAAAAGGAAAAAAAGGAAAAATGGAAGAGGGAGGGAGGGAGGGAGGGGAGGAGTAGTAGGAGGGAGCATAACGAATTCGGATAAACGGTTTTATTGTTTTCCTTAGTGTATTTTAGTTCTGATGGAAGGTTACGCTTATTTCAACCCCCTAAAACTACTCTCTCTCTCCCTTTCTCTCTTCACCCCCTTTCCTCTCCTTTTATTTTTGCTCAGATTTGACTCACTCTCTCCTCTCTTTCTCTCTCTTTGTACGATCTCTCTCAATTCGAAACTAATCTATGTGATTCGTTTATTATTTTTTTTATTTAATTTTTTTTTTATTTTTATTCAAAAGTGTCGACATTATCAATCGTTAAACGTTTTTGATTCGGTGCTCTTGCATTTGTATCGATGTATCGATTAATCGATCGATCGATAGATCGAATTTTTTACGTAATAACGTATACAACACGTTCGTTAGCAAAATTTTGTTGTTGTTTTTCCAAACGTTTCGTAAACAGATGCGAATAATTTTTTTTGTTTAGTCGATTTGGTCTGTTAGTTCTTTATTAAATTAAAACGATAGTAAAAAAAAGTTTGGTCGTGGTAGTAGTGTGTGTAGTGATTGTAGTAGATCTACTTGACACTATCCACACGCAATAGACCAGCACCAGCACAACAACACCTGTTGTGGTTGTCGTGTGTTTGTTATATAACATTGAAATTACCATGACCACGCGAATAATATTTAAACAAGCCTGAAAATATAAATTTAAATTGGGGAGAACGATATAAATAATAATGATAATAATAATAAATGGGGAGGGGGAGTTGATAAAAAAAATATGTTTATTACGTGAATAATCCAAAATCGGTAGCTAAATTTTTTTTTTGTTATCGAAAGTAAAATTTTCAACAAAAACATCATCGTCATCATCGTCATTATTATTATTATTATTATTATTATTATTATCATCATCATTATCATTATTATTATTATTAACCTGACCGTGTTAAAAACATTTTGCTTATTGTTACGAACCTTCCTCTCTTTAAAAAAAATTATTTGTTTGCATAAGATTAATGAATCCCGCACGAGGGTCTATATAATAATTGTTATCATTATCATTATCATCATCATCATCATCATCACCATTATTATTATTATTATCATTATCATCATTATTATTATTATTATTTTTAATCAGTTTAACCCTTGATAATAATTTGTTAACATAAAATGAATTTTTTTTTTTTTTTTTTTGACAAAATCAAACAAGTTAGTTTTGACATATGCTCGTCAATATTTAGTAAACATTTAAATATTTGATTTTTGGCGCGACACGTTTGTTTTATTTTATTTAAATGTAAAAATGTTGTTCATTTCCATAGAGTAATAATAACAAAAAAATTCGCGGAGTACGTTCAGAAAGGGAAAAATTAATTATTCGCGCGGTGAGGTTTAAAAATTGATTGACAATTAGGGTGGGCGCGTTCAGAAACGGCAAAAAAAAATTTTATTAGTTACAATATTTATATATTTCAGTCGTTTTTAACATTTCTCTATAAATATTTACAAAAATTATTATTATTATTATTATTATTGTTATTATTTTGAGCGCGCGTTCACGAATCGTCATCGAACGCCATATTGTCTCTACCGTCTCCGATGTATTCGTACATCATTTGAGATCCGAATTCGTCGCTTATAAATATTCTATCTTGATCGTCGTAATGATGACCATCGGTCGCGTGTATGTCGTTTGTCGATGCCAACATTTGTGACGACCCCATAATTACAGGACCGGAACTAGAATTCGAAAATGTCGTCGGCGGCGGCGGAGTCGGCGGTGAAAAATTCGATTTCGGATTGTTTATTATGAGTTGAGAACCCATTTTCGTTGCAGGTTGATTTATCATTATTTGTGACGAACCTGAAAACGTTCATAAGAATTTATCGATTTCGTTATCATCATCATCATCATCATCGCCGTCGTCGTCGTCGTCGTTGGTACCTTTTGTTATGACGTATTGCGATCCTAAAACGGATCTATCCGATTTATTTATGTACATTTGCGAGCCGCCATGTTGTGATTTAGGCGCGATCAATTGCGAACCCATAACCGAACCCGCAGCGGGAGTCATCAATTGACTTCCGGTTTTTATTGTCATGTAATCAGCCGTTGACGGTGGTCTCGATTTTGTCATTCTTTTTTTCTTTTCCATTTTGTACCTGAAATGTTATGTTAAGCGTATCAATCATCAAAAGTTTTCCTTTTTTCCTTTTTTCTTCTTCCTATTTTTACCTTCTGTACATGCAACTGATTGTACAAGTTGCGACAAGTGCCAAAATCCCAATCAAAACGGATAAAACGAGTACCCATATTTCAATCCACGAAATTTCCGTTCTGTAACTCGTCGACGCGCATCTCGTCACTTCCTGTATGTTGAATTTTGAAAAAACTTTTTTGAAATTTTTATGTTTCGGATCGTTCAATATGGATTCCATATTTTCAACGCTGTAGGGTTCTTTTCCGATCATTTGAAAACAAGAACTGTTGCATAAAGAGAGAGAGAGAGAGTGTATCTTTTGTCCTTTTTCAACTTCATTTTCCCACCTTATCCTAATTTATCTTCTTACCTTGTCGAACTAAAGTCCAAACTTCCATCGGGTTTCGAATGAAATTGTACGTCGTAAATATTAACGAGAGGAACTCCAGCAGCCGATGCCAATGCGAGTTCTATTTCCGGTATTTTTTTTTTCACTTCCGTCGGCGGATCGTTCAAAACTAATTTCATTAGCGCTTTGTCTCTCAGCATGAAAACCTTTGAGAAAAAGGAAAAAAAATGGTAAATTTTGATCCTTTTTTCCATTCCGTCATTTCCAAAATCGTTTTCCCTACCCTTATCGTGTTGTTGGCTCTTCTCGAATGTTCTTCCGTATTGTTAGCCAATATGGCGATTTCGAAAAAACCGTTTGAGTATTTTTGCAGGGACGTACCCGTTTTCAATTCTCCCGTTTTTTTATCTATGGAAAATATTTTTTCCGACGCGTTTATGACGGCTGTGAAATGATCGTCTTTGGCAAGGCTCGTGAAAAGTATTTGGCTTATGTAATATTCTATAGGGGCTGCATTTTCGTCTTCGTCCGTCGCTTGTAGCGTCACCAAAGACGTGTCCGGAGGCACGTTCAGTCTGACGCCTATAAAATCGAAAAATTAAGTGTGACGTCATACATACGTTTTATTCGGAAGTGACGTAAGAATTTACCGATCGACATGTTTGTCTTCGTGAATTTCGGATCGTTGTCGTCGATGTCTTCGATGAGAATGAGAATTTGCCTTTCGGAAGGATCTTGTCTGTTGTAGGGACGTAGGTAATTTAATTTTTTCGAATCTTGAGAAAATTTAAAACATTTTACAGTTAGAAGATGATTTTTTGTTTTTTCTCTATCCAATCTTCCGGCGGTTCGAATTAGTCCGAAATTATCATCCGTTCTCGTTATGGTAAATAAATTATCGTCGTTTCCGTCTGGAAAAATTTTTTTCGCGGTTAAAAAAAAAACCTTCCGTGGTTTGATCGAATAAAAGAATTTATTTACTGGAAATGACGTAATCGATCATGGCGTTTTCTCCAATGTCGTCATCTATGGCTTGTATTAATCCGACTTCCGTTTCCGGTGGACTTTCTTCCGTTACTTTCATGACGATCGGTGATTCATCTATGGATCTTTTAAAATATGGCTTGTGATCGTCCACGTCTAATATTTCGATCTGGAAAAATTTTTTTTCGATTAGTTTTTATTTATTTTTTCGGTTTTTCCATTTTCCTTTTTAAAATATTTACGTGAAGTTTTCTAATGGCTTGCTGTGGTACATCTCCTCTGTCTTGTGCCACGATAATCAAATCGTACGAACTTTGTTTTTCTCTATCCAATGGTAATTTGGTCGATATCAAACCCGTTTCCGAATGTATTTTAAATGGATTTTCTTTTCCCGAATTTCCATCGTCATCCAAGAATTTATACCTGGAATTTCGAGATTTTTAAAAAAACCTAACTTCCGGTTTTTTTGGCGCGCGTGCGAGATCATACCTTATTTCCCCTTCCGGAGTATTCGAATTATCTGGATCCGTTGCGATTGCTTGAAACACTGGAGTGTTGACCGATGCATTTTCCGATAATTCAATGACTTGATTGAGTGCAGGTTTTATAAAAATAGGTACACCATCATTTTTAATAACGTCTCCCACGTAAATGCTCAGGGTGACTTCCGACGATAGTGATTTTTGGTAACCTTTTCCATCGGAATCTATAGAAATCAAATAATAATAATATTTTTTTCCAACGCGATTATTCGAAGGTTTTTAAGACTCACCTAAAACGTGATCCCCTTTATCGGAAGCTCTGACGACTATGTTATAAGGTTCCGCTCTTCCTTTTCCGGTTAATATTTTATCCGTTACGATTTCTCCGGTGTCGGAATTGATTTTGAAAAAACCCACGGCTTCGGTTTCGTCAACGATTTGATACGATACTTGTCCGGAAAGGCCCAAATCCAAATCCGTCGCTTGTACCGTTATTATGTTTGTACCCACGTCGACGTTTTCAGGTACGACGGTCGAATAGATTTTCTCATTGAAAACGGGAGGATTGTCGTTCACGTCTAAAACTTCGATCACGGCTTGAACTGTCGTTTTGTGGATTTTCGTGCCAAAAGATAAATTTTTATCGCTTGCCGTTACGTTAAATTTATAAAAGCTACGTTTTTCTCTGTCTAGCGACACGTTTTGCGCGACTCTTATTTCTCCGGACGTTTCATTCACAATGAAATAATTTGAATTTTCACCGCTTATCGTGTACGCTATGGTATCGTTGTCTAAATCCACGGCTTTTACGGTTAATACTATTTCCGGATATTGTACGTTTTCCAAAACTCTTTTCGTGTACGTATCCTCGTCGAAAATGGGGGGATTATCGTTTATGTTGAGGATTTCGATGATTAAAACGGAATCCGTGTAACGGATTTTCGGTAGATTTTTTAATTCCACGACGGTTTCTTTTGTATTTTTAATATCCTGATAGGGATCCTCGTTGACGATGGCACGAACGCTCACGTTATAGATTTTCCGTTCGATTTTTTCATAATCTAATTTTTTAAGGATAATAACGTTTCCGTTTTCGCTCACGTTAAATATGTCGTAGTGATCGTTTTTAGTGGATTCGTATTTTATTTTCGTTTTGTTTTTTATGGGATCCCTCGCTTTTAATTTATACACTATCGTGTTCACATCGACTTCTTCGTTAATTTTAATTTTAATTATGGGATTTTTAACGGTCCAATTCGTTGTTAAAAAAACGGGATTCGTATTGTCGCTCGCTTGTACGTACAACATTATTTCCGTCGTGGTTTTTTGTTCGTTTTCTTCCGCGTTCACATCTTCTCCTTCCACTTTTAATATGACGTAATTGATTATATCGTGTTGGAGCGTCGCGTTGAGTATTATTTCCCCGGTTTCGTTGTTTACGACGAATATGTCGTCGTCGGTTTGTGTGAGCAAACCGGCTTTGTTGTAAATTTTAATGGGTTTTATAATTTTATAAACGATTTTACTGTTCACGTCGGAATCGTTCGCTCGAACGGTTATAACGGTCGAATTTATTTCCGCGTTTTCGTTAACGTATTCCGAAAAAGTGGGCTCTTGAAAATGCGGCGGTTTGTTATTGACATCTTCGACGGTTATCAAAACGGAAGTCGTACCCGTTTCCGGTACCGGTGTACCCGAATCGATCGTTATCACGTGAAGTTCGTAATTGTTCGGATTGTTTTCCAAATCGAAATTCGAATACGGTGACGTTTTTAATATTCCCGTAGTTTCGTCCAAAACGAAATTGTCTTTTCCACCGTCTGCTATACGGTAAATTAATTTCGAATTGATTCCATCTGGATCCACGCCTTCTAATTTTTTTACAACCACGTTCGGTTGTATGTTTTCTCTAATGTTTACCTTATAGATGGATATTCCGTTTTTGTTTTTTGCATTTCCTTTGAAATACGGTCGTTGATTACCGACGACTCCGACTCGTATATTCACTCTCGCATCGTCGTACATTTTAGGTATCCCATAGTCCCATCCTCTTATAACCATTTCGTATTGTCCTTTGGGTGTGTCGCTCGAGGATACGGGTTCTTCGATGATGAGTTCTCCGGTATTTTCGTCGATCGAAAAAACATCCCTTATGTAATTTTTCGATATTATTTCGTAGAATATTTTTTCACCCCCGTGTTTGGGTCCGTCGGCATCAGTGGCACGAACGAAAAATTCCGGTTGGAAGGATTGAGCACCCTCCCGAAGGATTCTATTGTATTCTTTGAGTTCGAACGTTGGTTTGTTATCGTTCAAATCGTCTACGTCGATGTAAACGTTTACCGAAGATGTTTTGTTTCCTCCATCGATCGCAATCAAATTCAACGTGTACGATTTTTGAGTTTCGTAATCTGTAATAATGATAATAATAATGAAATAGGTTGGAGTTTCCCGAGTTTTCCGATCATTCAGATCGAATTTGTTTGTTTTTTTTTCGATTCCGTACCTAAATTATAGGTCGATGTGTAAATTCCACCCTTGTGAAGATTCGTTTTAAATTTATTCGCTTCGAAACCTTTGAGGTAATATTTTATTTGTCCGAAAATTCCGCTGTCGCGATCTGTTGCGCTCACGTTGTATATCAAAGTATTTGGCGCCGTATTTTCAGGTACCAAAACGTGATAAGACAAACTTGAAAATTCAGGGGCGTTGTCGTTGGCATCTTCCAAATGTACGAAAACTCTACTTCTTGCAACTTCTCTCTTAACTTTCTGTTTTCGACAAAAAAAAAAAAAAGGAACAAATCATTACAAAATACCTGAATTTAATAATAATAATAATAATAATAATTTCATACGTTTTCTTTTGACGTATGTGCGACAACGTCGAATATCAACGTTCTTAAATTTTCATCTTCGACATCGTAATCCAAATTTTTTGTATCGTTCACTCGTACGACAACCGCGGTTCTTCCGGTACCTGATTCAGGTCGTACCACGAAAGTGTTATAAACGTTTTCGATTTCTTCTAGGGAAAGATAATATTTTGCATTTTCACCGATGTCTTCGTCGTTAATTATCATGTTTAATCCGGGTAGTGGAGAATCGACGGCTGTAACGATCGAAAAAAATTCATTTTTACCGCCATTTTCTTTCCACCTCCCCTCCCTCCTCCCCCTTACGCATAATTAATCGTCCGGTAAATGATAATTCTCACCTATATTTTCCGATACGTTCAAATGGTAAACATCCTGATTGAATGTGGGTAACTGGTCGTCTTCATCCATGATAACAATCGTAACGGTTGTGTCCGTATAATCGGCTGGTAGTTCGTTATTTATTAATTCGGTAGCCTGAACCGGAAACAAAGAAAAAACAGTTAAGCGTGTCAGTTAAGATTTTTAAACGATTATTCTATTGCCACGATTGAATCACGATCGATAAATATGTACATAATTAATTAATTTCTCACTCTTAAAGTAAAAGTATATATTCCACCATTTTGAAGTATTTCCGGATTTTCACGATCTAACGGTATTTCCGTCGTTACGACATCGTAATAACTTTCAAATGAATTTTCATCGGCGTCGTCATAATCGTAAAGAGGTTCGAGTTGGAAATATCCCAAATGATCATCTCGTATTTCGATACGAACGGTTCGGGGATCTCCGATATCGCCATCTCTTGCTCCGACTCTTAAAATGACGGTACCCTAAAAAAAAAAAAAAGTTAGTTTTTCATTTCCGGTAAATAAAAAAGGAGGATTTCCTTCCGGCGGAAGTAAGCACACCTCTTTCGTGTTTTCCAAAACCGTTGATGAATATGGTGAATTTATAAAAACCGGAGCTTGATCTTGTATATCTAGAACGTTTATGTTTATGTTTGCCGTCGACGTGAGTCTACGATTGGGATCTTTGGCACGATCTGTCGCCTTGACGGACAAACTGTACGAAGTTCTCGATTCGTAATCCAAAGGTTTTAAAAGGGTGATGACGCCTTTGAAAAGACCCTCGGCTAACTATAAAAAAAAAGGAGAGGTTTTCGAAAACGAAGAAAAAACCGTTACGAAAAAAAAATAAAATAAAAACCTTTTCGGTGGTGACGTCAAATGTTTTACACGTTTCGTCATCCGGTGGCGTGCAAGACAATATGACGTCTCCATTTATTCCGCCATCTTTATCTTGAACCGTTATGTTATCGAAAATAACTTTTCCAACCGGCGTATTTTCAAATAAACTAATACTGTATGGCCTATTGTAAAATGTCGGATAATTATCATTAATATCCAATATTGGAATTTGTCTCAAATGAGATACCGTGTTTGGTTCGGAACCATCGAAACTTTCGTCTGAAAGAAACGGAAAAAAAAAAAAAAAGTGTCACAAGAATTTTATCGTGGTATTAAATCGGTAAAAACCTAATTTTTTATTATACCGGTTATGCTTATAACGACCGATACGATGTCTTCCGTTTCTCTGTCGAAACTTTTCAAAGTCGATACGATTCCGGTATTTTTATCGACCGTGAAATATTCACCGCTTATGCTATAAAATACTCTGGAACCTTCTGGATCGGTACCTGTCGATTAAATTCAATTTTTATTTTTTTAGGGTTCGAAATAAGAAGAAGAAGAAGAAGAAGAAGAGGGAAAACCGGATGTGTTTAAAGAAAAGTTTGAAAACCGTTACGAAAGGAAGGAAGGAAGGAAGGAAAGATCAACGGAAAGAGAAAGGTAAAAGAAAAATAAATTTATTTTTTTTGTATAACGATTGACAAGCGACGTTAAATGAACGAGAAAACGTGGCAGAAGACAATAGGGGAAAGAGGAGAGGCGAGGGGAGGGGTAATGGCGAGTTCTTTCTATTTGTTTCTTTCATATGTTGGTAATTGTGAAAATGAATTAGAAAATATTTTTTACCTAAGAGTCTGTAGACTGGAGTTCCAGGCGGTGTGTCTTCTGGTATGGCAAATCTTGACATATCGCCATTGGGTAAAAATTGTGGAGCACGATTAACTCCGTTATTATTATTATTATTATTACTATTATTTAATTGAGCATTTGAAATGACGCATAATAGCACGAGTGTTATGAAAATTTTTATTTGGTTTCGCATGGCTTTTTCTCTTTTTTTTTTCTCCAGTCGGTCATTATCTGCAAAAAAAAAAAAGAAAAAAAATTTTAATCGATGACGTCATCGTCATCCGATCGATCGATCGATCGATCAATCGATCATTCGATCATTCGTTCGTTTTTTCATTCATTCGTTTAATACTCATCACCGCAAAATTATTATTATTTCGATGCTGGAGAAGAAAAAATTTTTTTAACGATTTTGCGGTGAGCAAATAATATTCGTTTTTTTTTTTTAAATCGTGGCAGCAACGACTCAATCGGCAACGAATACTATTAATCAAAAAAAAAAAACAAAAAGAAATCCCTGGAATTTTTTTTTTTTTCTAGTCCCACGCCTTTATTAATTTGGCACTCGATCGCGTCAAGTTTCGGAAAAAACGTTTAACGTTACTCATCCGGTTGTAATATAAATTTTTTAATGCCACGTTTAAATTTTTTTAACCGAATCGGAAATTAAAAAAAAAAAAAATTAAATAACGGAATCATCGAAAGACGAAACTTCTGGAAATTTTTTTTTTTTTTTTTTTTTTTACGCAATCGAATTCGTTTCGAATTTTTTTTTTTTGTGTTTCGTACGCGACGACAAATAATCGCTGGAGAGAAAATAACGATAAAATTAGTCATCCGTGAAAAAATAATAATGACGTCATTTTTTAAAAACTGGAATAAACTGGAATTCGTTTAAAAAAAATTTTTAATTTTTTTTTTCGTGCGGAATATGAAAAAAAAATTAAACGAAATTATCGGAAAATTATAAAAATTTTTCATAAATATTATTATTATTATTATTATTTTTATTAAAAACGAGTTTGACCTTTGAGATGTAAAGGTTTTAAAGAGGTCAAATGAACGAACGAACGAATTGAAGAGATTGCAAAACATTACCCAGTCATTATTCAATGTTCGTAATTATTATTATTATTATTTTGTATTCATTTCGATCGATTTTTCTCGAAACAAAAAAAAATTTAGGAAATTTAGAATTTTTTTAGGAAAGTTTCCGTTTGTTTGTTTGTTTGTTGTTTGTTTCGTTTAAACAAACAATGCGTGGTTGTTTCGTAATGATAACGTTTGTTATGATATCGGCACGACGTCGTTGTTATGATTTTTTTTTTCCGGTGAGAAAAAAAATTTCGGGTCGACCGTTAAATTCGAACGCAAAACAAAAACTTTAATTACGAGAAAGAAAGAAAGAGAGAGATAGGGAAAGAGAGAAAGAGAGAGAGAGAGAGAAAAAGAAAGAGAAAGAGAGAGAGAGAGAAAAAGAAAGAGGGAAAAAGAGAAAGAGAGAGAAAGAGAAACAAATAAATCCGATCGAATGTTTGTCTTTTTTTAACAAACGTAACTGACGTATACGTCATTGAAAATGATTGATTACAACCGACAACCGCGACAAAATTTATTTTCTCTATGACTTTATAAAACAAAAACAAACTTTTTAATTCTTGGAAATAAGGAGAAAGAGGGGAAGGGAGGGGAGAAAGGTCGAAACTCCACAAAGGAAAAAATTTTTTTTTTAAAGTTGGCAACAGTTTGCGAATCGAGAAACGTTATTTCAAAAACAAAACAAAACCGTTAGTTATCCCATTTTGATTTTTATTTATTTTATTGTTTATTCGCATCGCCATTTTTTTTCTTATTAACGGTTACGTAATAATAATAATAATAATAATAAGTAATAATAATAGTAATAATAATAATATAATATCGAACGTTATACAATGGTTTTGCAAAGGAAAAAATAATGGAAATGTTTCGACAGTAATTTTTTTTTTTTGTATAGTAAGGAAAAATAAATTACACGGAAATTTTTTTTTTTTTTTTGTTAGCCAATCGCGAATCGTTTTGTCGTGACACGTGATGTACTGAAAAAAAAAAAAAAATAATAATATTTTTTAATTAAAAAAAAAAATCGCATGAAAGTCATTCGATTTAATTTGCGAATCGAATGAGATTTTCAAAAAAAAAAAAAAAAAAAAAACAAAATGGCCGTCGGACGAACAAACGGACGTAATTTTATTTTTTTTAATTTCGTCGAAAAAATTTTTTTTTTTTTTTTTTAAAAGGCGTGATGTGAAGATGTAATAAAATGCCTGAGGGAATTTTTATTATTATTATTATTAAAAAAACCGTTAGTTTTAAATCGGAAGGATTAAGATTAAGAAAAATTTTAATGATTTCGTTGACTAATTTTTTTTTTTTTTTGGGTTATTTCGGTGAAAGTAAAGTGCTAATTCACGTTTGAACTAAAAAAAAAAAAAACTCATTTTCGATACATTTTTTTGTTTTAACGATCGTTTTTGAAAAAAAAAAAAAAAGAAAATGGCGGAAAAGTTAAAATAAAGAAACGTTTCGTTAAACAAAACATTCAAGGCGATTTAAAACGGGGGGGGGGGGGAAAAAAAGAGGAAACGATACGATGCGGGTTGTTTGTTGTTTGTTGTTGTTGTTGTTTTTGTTGCTATTCATGCGTATAAAAAAAATCGTGGAATCAGAAAAGTTCAAATGTCAAAAACCTTTAGGGGCCAAATCAAAATGAAGGCTTTTTTTTTTAAATATAATTTTAAAAATAATTTTGTACACGCCGCCATATTTAGACTTATAATAAAAATGTTAAAAACGCGAAATGTTAATAATAATAATAATAATTCTCTCTTTTTTCGTTAATGGAGGAAACAATAAAAAAAAAATGGCGGAAAAATTGTTAAAAAATTAATTTTTTTTTTACTAAAAGATTTCGATTCCATTACAAAATTAATTCGGGGAATTTTTTTTTTTTTTTGTATTTCGATTCGAAAATCATTCATTCAATCAATCAATCAATCAATCACTTCTCGTAATTTATTCGGGGTTTAAAAAAAAAGAATTTAATTTTATAACGAGGCCGATTTGATGAATACTCGGAAGAATGTACGTTTGATTGTACAATATAACGAATAACTTTTTTTATTAGAGTTTAGTGGGTCGGTCGGTTGTTGGTCTCGTTTGTTGTTGTTGTTGTTGTACAAACAAGTTCGGTTAAAATTTTACTCCGAGCGCAAATAAAAAAAAATTTTAAAATTGAAAAAGAAAAAAAAAAAACCGTTAAAAACGTATGAGTTTAATCGAATTACATAACGCGGTGATAGAAAAGAATCGGGGGAGGGGAGGGGGAAAGAGAGGAGGAGAATGAGGAGGAGGGGAGGGGTGAAACAAAACATTCCGGAATTGTTTCTTATTTTTAAATTATTTATTTTTACTTTTTAACGTTCGCGGTTAATTAACCGTTTTTTTATGTATGTACTAACGACTTTTTTTTTTTTTTTTAAATTTTACCGTTGAAAGTAAAAAAAAAAAAACTTTCCGTTCGGGTTACGTTTAAACGAGTAAAGTCATTCAAACGGAATTTTTGATATTTTTTTTTAACTGGGTTTTTATCATTATTATTATTATTATATTTACTACTCGAAACCGAGTAGATCCGACGTGTGGGTGCCCTAAATTAATACAACAAAAAATTCTCGTTCTCACGTGACCTTTTCGCGACCTCCGCAAATCTCTTTTCAATAACTTTTATTTTATTTCTTTCTTTCTTTTTTCTCTTTTTCCTCCGGTACCGTAATCGCGTTTTTATTATGTTAATTGTTGACGGAATTTCGAAATGAATTTCTTTTTTTTTTTGCTTCCTGTTTTCTTTTTGGTTTTAAATCGGACCGAAAGGAAATTAATATTAAATGAATCGCGGAGGCTTTTTTCATTTCCTCCCCCACGCCCCCTACCTATCGTTTCGTTTCCGCGCGTCCATCACCGAAGTGTAGTTTGTACCTTTCTATTAAATTAATTAATTTTTGTGTGAGAGAAAGAGACCGGGAAATCAAAGAGAAAGAGGGAGAGAGAGAGAGAAAGAAGATGAAATGAAGGAGAAAGAGAGAAAGAGAACGAAATTATAAAGTATGAAAGGAAAATAGAGAACGTGACCGAAATCAAAGACAAAAGAGAGTGAGAGAGAGAGGGAGAGATCGAAATTTAAAAAAGAAAGATAAAAAGAGAGAGAGAGAGAGATTAAAATTAAAGACGAAGGTAAAGATAGAGAGAGAAAGAGAAAGAAACCAAAATTAAAAAGAAAGAGAGAGAGAGAGATTAAAATCAAGACGACGATAAAGAGAGAAAGACGAAAATAAAGATAAAGAGGCAGAGGGACAGAAAGAACGAAAAAAAAAGAGAGAGAGGAACACAAAAAAAGACAGAGAGAGAGAGAGAGAGAGAAACAGAAAGAAACAAAGGGAGAGAGAGAGGAACAAAAAGAGAGAGAGAGAGAGAGAAACAGAAAGAAACAAAGGGAGAGAGAGAGAGAGAGGAACAAAAAGAAAGAGAGAGAGAGAGAGGAAGAGAAAGAGAGAAAGGGGAACAGAAAGAAAGAGAGAGAGAAAGAGAGGAACGGAAGGAGAAAAAAAAAGGAACGGAAAGAGAGAGAGAGAGAGGAACAGAGTGAAAGAAAGAGAGAGAGAGAGAGGACAAAGTATTGTGACAAAGTGCAAGTTGTTTTTATTTTTTTTTGCAACATCCGCCTCCAGGATTCATCATCATCATCACCTGGAAGAATTTTTTTTTTTCTCATTTGTTTAATTTTTTGCAACGTTGCCAAATTGTAAATAACTTTTCCACTTTGTTTACCTTTTTTTTGTTTTTTTTTTTTTTTGTTATTATCATCCTACTGAAAATTATTTTTAATTATGTTATTAAAAAGTCGTTCAACTTTTCATTTTTTTTTTTTTATATATATAAATTTTATTATTATTATTATTATTATTATTATTATTATTATTATTATTATTATTATTATTATTATTTAAATTAACTATTTATGAAGAAAATTTTTTTATTCTATGTTAAATTACGTGTGAAAATTTTCGTTTTGTTTTAGGCACAGTAAAAAAAATTGATAATGACGTAAGAGATTTTAAATTTTTCTTTCATTCTTTCTATTATTATTATTATTAT